AATAATATCCTAATTTTTTCAAATATAGTATCCGAGTATGGAAAGTACGTACGGGAAGTATTATTGAGACTACAGAAGGCGGGTCTCTAAGCGGATATTAAGAAATGCGAATCCGAAGTAACGAAAACTAAATTTCTAGGGTTTCTTATTAGTACAAAAGGGATTTTAATCGATTTAGAGAAGGTCGAAGCGGTTAAGGAATAGAAGACGTTTAGATATTTAAAAGGAGTATAAGCCTTTCAAGGTTTTGTAACTTCTATTGAAAATTCGTTAAAGATTTCGGCTGTATTATACAACTACTAAACTTATTAACGAGAAAAAATAGAATATTTATTTGGGATAAAGAGTACTAACGAGTATTCGAGGAATTAAAAAGACGTTTATTCGAAGCGTCCGTTTTAGTCTATTTTTCATTCGAAACGGAAATATAACTAGAAATAAACGTGTTTAATAGAGTATATAGGGGTATACTTTCGTAATAGTAGGAGGAAGACTATAAATAATACCCGGTAGCCTTTTATATAAAGATTATAGCCCTTACCGAATTTTAATTACCCTATATATAATTAGGAGCTATTAATTATTATAAAAGCTATTAAAATCTAGAAACTAAAATTAAAAAGGAGAAAGTTCGAAATATTTACTAATTACCAAACTCTAGAATATTTCTATACCAAACGTCTTTTAAATTCTAAATAGGTTAATTAATTTAGAAAACTCTCGGAATACTAATTTAGGATAATATACCGGCCGGGAAAGGATAATTAGGCAGCCGACGCTTTATTAAGAAAGACGGAAATATTAAAAATAATAGTATAGAAGCGAAATAATTAACGGATAATAAAAATATTAAAACTAAAAGGTAGATACCTAATATTTACTAGTAATAAGAAGGATACCGACGCTTCGGAATTAAATACAATTTTTATTACGGAGATAGAAGAACTCGGAAAAGAGGGCCAATTCGAAGAGGAGTAGGAGATAAATACTATAATATTACCCGAGGGATTCGAAATAGTAGATCAATTTCTGAAGTCCAATAGGGAAGTAACGTTATTATCAGTATATAGGGCTAAAGCGATAGCCGAAGAAAACGAATATTTTCGATTCAATAATAGACTTCTAACTTATTACAGCGAATAAGTAATTCCCGAAGATAATAATTTATATACGGCCGTACTAAAGGTATTTCACAAGAGCCTTTTAACGGCCTACCCGGAATGTAATAAAACTAGAAAATTGGTTACCCGCTAGTATTAATAGCCGGGGATATTAAAAAATATAAATCGATTCGTAAATAATTATTGGACCTATAGGTTATTAAAAGTACTACGCGATAAAATTCCGGGTCTATTAGACCCTCTACCCTTCAATAAAGATTATAAAGCGTAGTACTCCTTAGTAATCGATTTTAAATTTATACCGAAAGATAAGCGGGAGTATAATGATATATTGGTACTGATAGACCGCTTCTTAAAATTAGTATAGTATATACTATAAAAAAATATAGTAATAGGCGCGGAAGTAATGAAATTGTATTATAAGGGACCGTATTGTATTTTTGGATTATTAAAGTAAGTAATTAGCGATAGAAGCCCTTAATTTATATTAGAATTTACCTAAGAATTACCGCGCCTCTTCGGTATCAAGTAGAAACTAAGTAGTACGGGGTATTTATAAACGGCCGGTTAAATAGAAATTATAAACTAATATATTAATTAAAAACTCCAACCGTACGTATCCTATAATTAAAATAATTAGTCGGACTTCCTCCTAACGTTGGATATAATATAGGGCTATCTACCCTACGAGAATTTAGATAGATTATTACTATACGAGGCCGTATTCGAATATATTATAAGTCTACTATTTGATTGGTAGGAAGTAGCAAAGTAAGAAGGTATGGACGAATAAAACGCTTCGCTGAAGGAGCGCTTATTACGCGGAAAAGCGGTAAAAATAGCAAAGATACTAAAAAAAGCGAATATATTAGTAAGAGCTACAATATAAAGGGCGTAAGAACGATAAACTACCTAAACTAATCGATACTACCGATAGCTAGACTTCGGTAAGGGGAATAGGGTCTTTATTATTAGAAAGAATTAGTTTATAAACCGCCCGAGCGATAAGTTACATTTCCCCCTAACGTATATTCCTTATACTATTTAGTATATAGTCGGGTATTCGTACGAATATGATATACCGAAATTATAGAAAGGATTACGCGTATACTATACGGACAAATTATATAAAGACCCCGCCAACCCGCTATCAGAATAGGCTAATAGTAACCCGGTAGGGGAATTACGACCGTCGGAAGAAGATAGCGGAGAAGTAGAGGAATAGAAGGTAGAGAGGATCCTATCATTGAAGGTCAATAGAGGAAAATTTTAATACTAAGTACAATAGAAGGGGTAAGATCCTAACCCTAAATAGTAGGATGCGGAAGGATTTAAAAATATAATAGTAAGATTAAAAGAATATTACGACGGGAATCCAGATAAACTAGGACTACTGAAGAGGTTAGGGGTTTGGGTAAAAGTAGTAGAGAATAGCCAGGTTGCTAAGAAATATAAAGATAATAATTTACCGGCGGACAGTTCGAAGAAAGGGAAAATATATAAGATGAGGACTTAATAAGGTAATAGGGGAGGATAAAATACTAATAGGCTACGGAATAGTATATAGCGTAGTAGCGTATTGTAATAGCCTACGATATTATATTATATTAGCTTAGTGTATTTATCCTCTACCTAGGATGTAGTCCGTTGGAATCCGACGGAGGGATGTTTTTTTCAATATTTTACGTATTTTATACCGCAATAACTAGATTGAAGAATAAGGTCGCAATACTTAGTATAGAATTATTTAACTAGGGGAGGAATTTTATTGTAATACAATAGATTGGACCACCCATTGCGATGGGCTTACAAGATGGTAGCTTTTATATACTCGTCAAGTCTATAAAATCGACCATCTGACTAGCGGGCGGGCTACTAGCTAGGGATAGCGATTCGTATATAAATAGCGACTCGTACCGGAAACTGGGGGTACCTCCCTACACCGCTATTTTACTAGTAAATAAAAGTAGATCTAATTAATAGTATATTTTTTTAGTTGTATGCAGCCCAATTCCCCGCACTGCCCAATACTCTGAATATGTACTACCTATTTGCACTCATTTGCACCCAAACCGATTATTATATCTATATTTACGTACAATCGGTCTTAATTATACTCAACCCCCCTTATTCAATCCCTCTAACTCCCTACTATATTACTTCCCTCTATCTTACTATTGGACTACTTTCCCGCCGCTATATCCTCTATCTATTGCGCTATACTTCGTCGACCTTATAAACCCGCCGGCGGCTCCTTATACCGTATATTAACGCCTATAAACTTAACTTCTAATATTAAAGATATTATTAACAATACTTAGAAAACGTTACCAATAGAAGGGAGAGTCTAAGCCGCTATAAAGGTATTCCGAAATAATAAATTTAAGACTATAGCAAATATAGCGAAAGTATTTCGAACTCTATACAAATGAATTATTAGCCGCTATAAGGGATTATATTCTATAGCCGGGAACGGGGGTCCTAATAAACTATTAACTAGAGAGGAGGATTTGGCATTACAAATTTAGGTTAACGTATAGATATCCGTTAATTAGTATTATCATTACTTAAATACTTTAAGAATTAAGCTAATTAATCAAGTATTGAGATTATACTAGTACGGCTAGTATCTATAGTAACTATTATTATCAAATTCAATTATAATAATAGTAGTAGAAAACCTATACCTAGAGCTATAATTTATTAGGCACAATAACATTTATAATGAGAAGACTTCTATAGTATACGTACGAAATCTGTAGCATAGGTACGTAAGGCTTCATAGACCAAGGTAAATATAGAAGAGGTCTTTTATTTCTTCTATAATACTATTACTAAATACAACGTTAAACTAAACAATATATAGAATAAGGACGAATCTAGTTTTAGGGTCGGTATAATAAATAAGGCCTATTATATATAAATTTGTAGTAAAATAACCGAAGTACAATCTATTAACCCTAAGTAAAGGATTCTTATTACTATCTTTAAAACTATTTCTATATCTAGCCGGACTATCCCTCCCTTCGTTTTACTTCCCGGCGTTAATATTATATACAAATATATTAATAACTCCCTTAACTACGGGACAATCATTACTACCTCTCTACGAAGTTATATAGATAATTAGTATATATTTAATTAATTTAAATACTAGGAGGAGTACTCTCGTCCCCTCAATAAAGAGGAGAGGCGAGTCTTGATATTAGATAACTACAATAGTTACTATACTATTAAATTCTATAAGCAATATAGGAGGAATAATACTATACTCTTTTTCTTACGCCCCCATTCAATATACTTCCTTTAACCTTTCAATATTAGGATCTTTTAAATCTATAAACACTTTCATCAAATTGATATACGTGAAAAGCTCGCCTTTAATAATATTAACTATAATAAGCTAGACTTTCTTAATAATTAAAAAATAGTACGTAAGAAGGTAAGAAAAACTAAGAACGTCTATTCTATTTAAGAGCGTACTAATTTGAATCCTTTAAACCCTAATCTTATACTTTCAAACCTTTACAATCCATTAACCTCGTCAACAAATAACAGATATATCAAATAAAAACGAAAGTATATTACTCGTCTTATTAAGTAGGGGCTTATTAATCTTAGGATAAAAATAGAGAAAATATAACGTCGTATACTAGGAGAACTATTAAATAAGGCTATTATACTAAGCAATCCCCCTATTATAAATATTATTACTATAGTAAGCAAGCTTCCTACTATATTAAAGCCTTCTATACCAAAATAAAAGGATCGCCCTTAAATAGACTAGAGTAGTATAATTACACTAGCGCTCAACCTTCCTTCTATTGAAGAGTATAATAATTATATCAATCAACGAATTTTATTTATAATTAAGGGTAATTACGCTATATTATTAATAGTTTTATACGTACTTACTAAGCGAAATAAAGCTAGCAATACCTTTAATCTAGTAATTGTAAGAGAGGTTAAATTTAAGCGTAAACGCAAAGAGGAAGCGATTAAAAAAATACTACGTAACTCTCATAATACTAATTACTTATTAAAGCACAACAATACTATTATTATTAGAAACGGCCGTTTATACGCTACAATAGATAAATACTGATATACTATACTTACTAAGAAAGAAAATAAGCGTATTTATAATCGCGAACTTCAATAAGAAGAAAGTACATTAAGGGTATAGATTAATAGTTTTATTACAATACAAAAAGTACTTACTTGCGGAACCCCCAGAGCCGGATACCATCAGCTTACCGTCAGCCGACCGTAAGCTACACCCATTACTGTACAGTCCAGCTTACCGTACATAAACCGTCTATAGATCTGTACAGTAAGTTGATCTCCTACGGTAAATTGATATTGTACCTTCCCAGATACTAAATGAGTATAGAGACTCACATATAGAAAAATTAAGAAGGGAAGTCGCGAATGAGGTATATGAGCTGTATTTATCTACGAATCTACCTACTGCCTGCCGCCTACCCTACCGCCTACCTACGCACGGTCAAGTACCTAGCCTAGCGCCCGACCCTAATACTTATACCTACGCCTACACCTACACCTCCCGGCCCAATACCCGCGCTACCGGGCGGGCGGCGCCACACGCCGGCTTAGGCAGTAATATATTTAAGTAGTACAATAAATTAAATTTATAATACAGTTAAATTATACAATACAATACGATACTCTAATTTTAATAGAGGGATTTGTACATTAACTTAAAGCAATACAATTAAACAATACAATAAACGAAATACAATAACGAAATATAATAACCTAGTTTAGAAATCTCTAAATTCAGCGCTTGTACATTAATTTGAGTAATCCAATTAAATAATACAATAAACAAGATACAATACCCTAGTCTAGAACTCTATAATTAATATATCTATTCAAGGGTTAGTATATATATAGATAGACTTCCAACATATAAATTACTATTAGTCACTATATACCATTTACTTATATTACAATTAGACAATACGAAGGAATTTAATTATTAGCAGAAAGGGCACTATATATTGAATAAGTAATACATATTGATCGTTTCTATTACTAAATACTATAAAGTATTAATATCAATTAATATCTACCACCACCTCTAAACTATAATTGTAAAGTAATTAAGTATACTATAATATCTAACCTAATAAATAGACTATAAATCTTCTTAATATTAGTATACCGAATATAAAATAACGAAGATAATGGCCTACTATAACTACATTTATATAATATCCTAATCCATTAAGACCCAGCGAGGTTAATAGCCGCCGTATTATTCGTAAACTTTCGAAATATCTATAATATATACCCTATCTATAAGCATCGTAAGCAAACTAATTATTAGAGGCTAGCCTATATCTCCGACAAGCGGCAATTCAAATACTAGATTAATATAAGTAGTAGGTTTTATTCTAGTCAATACAAGGAAGATACGGCGTTTATTATACTACTTTTACTCGTATATAAAGATATAGTCGATACGGCCGATATTATCGTCGCCGGCGCCGGGGCGGCGGTATCTAACGTAGTTACCGATACCGAAAGTATAATATCGAAGGGTACTATATGAATACAAGCTAGATATTAGCCTTTATTAGCCATTTTTCCCGATTTCGGTTTATAATAAGCATTTAAGCGTATTCCTAAGGATAATTTTAGTAATATTAGTAATTGGGCGTATTTATAAAGTATATATATCTATACCAATTTATCAACATATACCGACTTTATACCGACTTTATACCAGCCGTATATGTGCGTTACATTGAGTATAGTATTTAAACTCCTATATTAATATCCTAATGTAAATACTATTAATAATTATTCCAATATCTAACAGCTAGCGCTCGGGGAGCTCGGTATTTCGGTATAGAGGTATAAGTAGGGGAATAGGTATAGGCCTATAGGATAGGAGATCTATTAGGGTAATACGTAATAGAGGAATAATACGTACTTATTTATAAATAATACCCTATTACTATACTATATACTACCCGCCACAAACCTTAGAATACTAGGGATACTATGATTAAATTATATACTCTAGATAAGGTACGATAGAATAGATTAGATATTAAAGTAGCGCACAATGATAGATAAAACTTAGCGATAGGGTAGTAAATTCGCCATATATCCTTTAATTTGCCAATAATAGTAGGCCGAATATATATATCGTTAGTAGAATTTAAAATATCAAATTCCGCTTCCTTACAGATTAGCTTAATTATTTTTATACTAAGCTGTTTCTCGTCTTTATAAATTAAACTATCGAATAGATTGGGGGCTTCCCTAATAATATAGTTAATTTAAACTATCAATTTAGTATCGTTGGAAAACGAATTGAGTAGTACAAATCGGATAGTGTAAATAATACGCTCTTATTCAAGGATCTACCATTCAACATCTCGGCTGTTAATCGTCTCTATTATCTTTTTGAATCGTTTATTATTCAATTCAATTATATTTAGTTATATAATTAATTTAACATCCGCCATCATCTTAGCACTAATAATATATATCAAATTCGTAGCTTATATTACGTACTAATACCCTAGTGCCTGTGCCTATGCCTGTGCCTGTGCCTGTGCCTGTGCCTGTGCCTGTGCCTGTGCCTGTGCCTGTGCCTGTGCCTGTGCCTGTGCCTGTGCCTGTGCCTGTGCCTGTGCCTATGCCTGTGCCTAACGGGCGCTAAGACTTTAATTTAGGGGTAACTATAGGTATATATTATAGGATTTGAATTTCAGAATTATAGGATTTGAACTTACTTATAATACTTTTCTTCAATTAATATATTAAGAAGACTAGGGGGGCCGTAGTATCCTTAAAGATTAGTATAATATACGCCTCAATATATATTAGGATGTGGCGCTTTTTTAATATATTTCCGGGCATATTTAAGAAGGGTAGTTACTTCTATAATAACCGTAGCTACTACACCCCCTTCTTTGTCTTTAACCATAATATTATTAGTATCTTCATTATTAAGGCCGCTCGCTACTACTATACTCGTAGTACCCGATATTAATAATCACCGAAATAATAATTAGGAAGGTAATTAATTTAGCCGGGTATAGGATCTAAATATATTTATCGACCTCGGATTATTGGCGGTAGCCTCTATTATAGTATAGTACAATTTTGTATACCAATTTCTAGCAGCTAGAATATAATAGTCTATTTTACTATATTCGGAAATGGTATTCTTAATATTCATTAATATACAATTACTCTAAGTTATAGCGGCTAATACTCTAGTAAAACCAAGGAGTAATCGAATATCTGTTGTATTATCCTCGTTATCTCCATAGTCTGGTTATATAACGGATTTCCAGGCTTCCTATACATACGGTTCGATATACTCTTTACGAAGCTATGCTACAAATAGTAGTAGTATTATAATAGACTAATTAGTATAATCGGTTGAAATATAATTTAAAAGGTAGGAAATAGGTAAAGGCAACAAAGACCAACCGGAAGGAAATAGCTAATACTATATAGTACAGCTATATTCGGTTCGTACCTCTAATATTAGGAAGATATTTAAAAGTATTTTATAGGTTTCAACTATAATACCCTTATATTCGAAATACATTAGGTTAAGGGGGCGGGTTAAAATAATATCCAAAGCTAGTATTAGGTCGAATAATATAGGGCGACTTAGACTAATACCCCATTAAATTCAATATATAACCTAATAGCCTTTAATAATTATATTAATATCGACTTTGTATCGTATTTATATATACTAATAATAATGCTAATTGATTTCGAACCGGAAACCTTCCAAAATATTTTACTTATTAATAATATAATCGGGGCTAATATAGTAAAAACAATAGAATCTATAGCCAGCCATGCTAACTACACCCGTATTCTAGTTTTATTAAAGCATATCACCCGTATAGCAAAATATAAATACCAATACTAATATTAGCTGTCCCTACACCTACATTATAACTATACCTTAGTCTAGGGGTATTAAATAACCTAGAACTTTTACAACGTCGTTAAAATTCGAATTATAAGGACCTAAAACAATAGGGAATATATTAACATTCCGAACTCGAATATTGTAGAGTAGCCCAGCAGGCGACTAATATACCCCTATCATAAATTAGTAAATATTATGATAAATACTGAATCCATTAATAAATATTAATATAGGACAACTAAGAATATTAAGGCTACTATAAACTCTATCCCATTAGTCCTCGAAAGTCTCGCAGCCGAATCCTTTAATTTCTAACTATACCCGAAATAATAATATAAAAGCAAAGGGAAATATCTTAAATTTAGTAGTCTTAGCAAATTCTAGTAAATTAATTTCAATTTAGAATCCATCGGGGTCATCTTAACTAATTTAATCTAGGACACAACGAACAAAGAAATACTTATCTTCCCATTCAATATCTAACTCTATCGTATACTTTTCAAAGCGCCTTTTTTCCCTCTTTCCCATCTATACCAATAGACTAAGATCATCCAAAATATTACTATTAAAGTAATTAATAATAACGGGTACAAACTAGTTAGTCTATTTCTAAACAATCTAATACTCTTAATCGAACCGTATAACTAATTCAAACTATTCAAAGTGCATTTCCTAACCGATTTGGAAGTGAGTACTAAGACTAGGAAATTCTTCGTCCAATAAAAGGAGGTTAATATCTAAACACTCGTTAACAATTATAGTAATTTGACCAGCATACTCCTTGATATCCAATGTGAAATTCTTCCTTATAATTTTAATATAGCCAATATAAATACGGTAGTTAAGATTATTCTCTAATAGGCGATAATAGTATTTACCACTCTCTCTACAGTAATAAAAGTAGATAAAATCCGAAGAAAATATAGCTTTGCTATTATCTTCCGAATTACTAATAAAATAATCATACTCGCCAAAGGTTATTCGAATTAACAATAACCAGTATAATATATAGTATAATTCTATTAGATTATCCATAAAGTATACTATACCTATATATAGTATTGTTAAAGCAGTATCCGAATTAAGGAAGGCCTGGAAGAGGGAGTATAAGTCTATAAAATACAGGGGTCCTAAAACTATAGAAGGATTAGAATTAGCTCTACCCCCTTATTCAAATTATTCCTATTATTCCTATTATTCAGATTATTCCTATTATTCCTATTGTTCCTATTGTTCCTATTACTATTATTGCTTTTTCCAACTCGCCAATTCTATTTTTATCCTTAAAGTCTATAATAGGACCTTAGCCATACGCATATGTAGTAATAGTAACCGTCGTATTGTACAATTTTTCAATATCTCCAACTATTTTAGTAGGCGCTAAATATCGATTATAGGTGTACCGTTTTAGCTACACAAAATGCCTAGAATTTCTACCCATACTTTATTCTATTTCTATAAGCGCCTATTAATGATAGTATATAAGCTAACAATTAAGTAATAATCTAATAAATATTCGTATCGATTGTAATAATAATAGATTAATTCCAATATATTAAAAATCAGGCTACGGGTTATAGTACCTTATGGAATATCTACTCCCGGTTCTTAATCGACTTATTCGGCTACCTATTCATCCACAAAATCCTTTTCAAATATACTAGTCTCTAGTTTTTATATTTCTCAATCAAATTCCCATTCGTAATAAATGAAGTTAAATTGTGATTATTCTTCGTCAAACCTAGTAGGAAGAACGTCGTTTACGTTTATAAGATTTTCGAATCTACGCCGAATATTGACAATATCTATACTATCGAAAAGATCTTAATCAATAATACCTACAAGAAATTATTAATTCGTAATTAACTAAGATACCTAAGGATTAAAACCAATTTACCTTTATTATTACCCTCGTCGTTACCCTCGTTGTTACCCTCATCACTAATATCCTCCCAATTATTAATATTATTATTATTATTATTATTATTATTATTATTATTATTATTATTATTATTATTATTATTATTATTATTATTATTATTATTATTACTATTATATACCGCGCCCGTATAAGGTATAACCGTATTATTATCGGAATCGATTAGTAGAGCGAAATTTAGTAATTTTAATCTTAAACGCTGAAATTAATTACTAATAGGTTAATATAAGTAGATCCGGAGAAATAGCACACGTTTACTATAACTAACCCTAAATAGTAGCGGTCTATTAACAACACAATCTACCTATAAAGGGGGATTATTGCTTTTATTTATTTTAGTCCGCTAATAAAGTATTACAAACTAACGGTCTTAAAATAATAATAAGCGCGAGTCTAATAGTTAAAGAAAAATTAGATATAAGTAATAGCAATGCAATAATATAAAAATAAGCGGGAGGCAAATAAACAATAATTAAGTTAGTTACAAAAAGGATAGCTATATATAGGATAATACTAGTAACTACGTTATATCGTACGAAGAGTAAACTATATATTCTAGTTATTAATTTAAAATAATTAATTATAATAGTTAATTAGAATTAGTACTAAAGTACTCATATATTTTAATAAAATATTTACCAATGAATAATTAATTATAAGGCTAATACTATTATAAGGTCTATATTCCCCTACTGAAATTGCTAATTTATTAAGTATAAGGAGACCCGCACTACGAATAAACACCTACCCCTACAATTAGCCGCCCCTAGACCGGGACCTACTTATACTACCCTCTATTTATACGTATATAAATATAAGAAAACGAATTAATACTATAAACTTCATTACTATATTTACTTAACTTCTATTATTAATATTACCCTACTATTTTATCTAATCTTTTAAAATAATTCACTAGTAGAGAAGCCACTAAAAGTATCTCGTTATACCACACGCGCACGATATGCCTATAAATACCATCGTTATTAACAATACCACGCCAAATTTAATTTTATGAAACTATTCACCCGGTAAAAGACCTACCATCCATCCTAATTATAGATCAGAAAGTAGCAAATAAATAAATAATTACCCCGCTTATAAAATTTTAAAGGTAATAAAACTATTATAATTATATTCATTTACTATTATTACTATTTTATCCTAATAATCGAAAAGTACTATATAGTCCAGATTTTACTTAATAATTAAATAAACACTCAACTCTCAACTAATTAAACTTCTTCTTCTTCTTAAACTTTTTCCTCTTTTTAAACTTTCTCCTTCTTTAACTAATTAGTTAAACCCCCGCCCCTCTTATTAATCGACTCCAAACCGCTTCATTTAATAAAACTTCCATCGACAATTAATCTACAATTATAATCACCAAATCCACTTCCTACTTTATAAGCTATTCTAAATTAAATATTATTACTATAAATATTATTCGATCTAACTACCTATACAACTATAATTAATATTACTATTTAAATAGAGGGCTCTATAAAGAGGAAGCGGAAACCCGCCTCTACAACCAAACTGACTATTAATTTCGAAGGTTATTAAAATAATACCCGTAATAATTTTTATAAAAATAAATATCTCAACTATAAGCAAAATATAGAACAGCCCACCAATAGTACACCTATATCGCCTACCAATATAAACTATACCCAGCCTACGCAAACGCCTAATTATACGCAAATACCTAAATATACCTAGCAACGCTTAAATATTACCGGTACCCATAAACAAGCTCTCAAAGCACAAGCACAACTAATAAATCAATATTTTATATATAAAGAGTTTTTAATAAATATTATTTACTAACTATTTAATAGGGCCAACGCAATATTAATTCCCCGGCTAGACTAAGCCCTCGAACTATAGTTAAAAGAAAATTGAAATAGGCCGGGGTCCATACCGAATCAACCACTATAAACTTAATTAATCCTTTAACCAAAGATTCCTAAGCGGCAGCCCATTACCTAACACCCCATTAACCCAGTCCTATCCCCAATATAATATTATGTAGCTATTATAAATAGTATTATAAGTATAATATTAATAATATTCAACTTAGAACACTATACCTCGGCTAAACTTTTTACAAGATCCATTAAACTTCTATCCAACAGTAGCAATATACTAAATAATAATAACCTTTAGAAATATTAAACTTAATTACTAAGCCGTCAACTATTTCCCCCCCAATATCCCTAATAATAACCTCCTCCTAATTATAGTTGTAACTAATTTCTCCCTCCTCCTAATTAAGGCTAAATTCCCCCTCCACCTCTTAATTATAGTTCTAGTCAAGGCCAATTCCCCCCCTAATATCCCTAATATTAACCTCCTAATTGTAATCGTAACTAATTTCCTTCTTGGTAGCTATTTTCCCCTTATAGCTAGTAAGATTAATAGGGCTAGCAGGTCCAACAAAGTTAATAGAATCAACCAACCCTGTAGTAATAAAGTGAAAAGAAAATCGTACCTTAGAAACGGAAATAACCTTCGTTGTTATTTTATTACAAAATCGAAATCAATTATATAATAATTAGAATATAACTACCGGACGTAATTTTAATATATAACGTCTTATATCTATCGAAAAAATTGATAAGTAAATTCATTAACGGGAGGTACAAGCTCGCCAAGCCCAGCAATATCGCTAAACCGAACAACATCGTTAAAATACTAAGCGTACTCATTTAGCCAACGA